ATTGGGCATTCCTAGCAACATTGTGAGCAACAGAGATGGGCGCTTCTCGGGCAGATTTTGGCGAGAGTTGTTCAAGATCATGGGCTCAAACTTGAACTTCTCGACGACATTTCATCCTTAAAGCGACGGACAGACGGAGCGGGTGAATGCCTTGTTGGAGGTGTACTTGCGGCACTACGTGAGTGCAAACCAACGAGATTGGGTGAAGTTGATGGACACGGCACAGTTCTCCTACAACTTGCACCGCAGCGAGTCAACCAACACGAGTCCATTTGAGTTGGCAACGGGGCATCAACCTTTGACACCTACGACGGTGGCAACGGGATATAGAGGCAACAGTCCGACAGCCTACAAGTTTGCTAAAGGCTGGCACGAGAAGATGGAGATGACCAAGTCTTACTTAGCCCGCGCTAGCAAGAAGATGAAGAAATGGGCGGACAAGAAAAGGTGACACTTGGAGTTTGAAGAGGGAGACATGGTGATGGTCAAGTTCTACCCTCATCGCTTCAAGCATCTCAAGAACGTGCACAAGGGACTGCTTCGCCGCTATGAAGGGCCATTCCCCATCTTGAAGAGGATTGGCAAGGTGGCGTACAAGGTGGAGGTGCCGTCGCACTTAGAGATCCATCCAGTCTTTCTTGTGAGTCAACTCAAGGCTTTCCACGAAGACAAGGGGGACGAGCAGCGAAGAGAGTCGCAGCGCGCACCAACACTCATCACCAAGACACACGACCATGAAGTTGAAGAAGTCATGGCGCGTCGTGTCATTCCTCGTTGTGGCGTACATCCAAGCTTTATGGAGTACTTGGTCAAGTGGCGAAACCTTCCGGAGAGTGAAGCAACTTGGGAGAAAGAGCTCACGCTTTGGAAGAACAAGGACTTGATCGAAGCATTCCATCAAGAGGACGCGACGAGGGCGTCGCGAGCATAGGTGGGGGAGGATGTCACGTGTGGCAGATGACATGGCGCCAGCAAGATGACAACATGGCGGCTGCACATGTGGCATGTATGGAAGACTAGTAGCATAGAGATGCTCCTAGGATTCTCCACCTAAATGAGAGTTTAATGGTGCACTTATGAGTCACATAATGGGTGACATTTATAGATTGCATAATGAGGGGACTTAATGGGGTGTATTGATGTAGTAGAGGGACATTATGAGGGGCATTGATGCCTTGTATGAGGAGAGGCCTATATAAGGAGCCATCTCCCTCACTTGTAACTCATTCCATCATTTTTGAGAGTAATACACACTAGAGAGTTCTCCCACTTCTTTGTCTTTGCTTGCAAGTGAGTTGAGAGAAAGGCTGCCTAGCGCTCTAACGGAATTGAGAGCTAGGGCCGCACGATCGAGAGTAAGGTCGTGACACAGCCCACAGAAACAAAACAAACAAGAAGAAGAAGATATTCTGTAACTCTGTTCACCATCCATCATCAAAGCAGAGGTGATGTTTTAATGCTTGGCTAGTGTTTAAAGTTTCACATAACTCGTACTTGAGCCAGCCACAACACAACATGATGTTATCTGTGATTCTCCAGTTTAGTGAATCATGTTATAGTAGACATGATTGTATGAACAACTTTTAAGTTTGGAACTATCAGAATGTTTTTCTGGAATATTTGGTCAGTTTTGTAACCATCATAATGTGTTTGTTTGGCAGAGCAAAACTTAGTTGGTTATGATTTCATTTGATTATGATTTCATTATAGGGATTGATTTCAGGATGTCAACACAAGAAAGAAATCCCGTGGACGTTGGTGATGGTAGGGATGGTAGTGATGGTGGTGATGATGATGATGTAGCAATGATGTCTACATCTACAGATCGTAAGAGGGAAAAAAGAGAAGCTGAAAGCTCTTTTGAGTGGGGTTCCTGGTAGGATTTCTTTGACTTGTGATTTGTATACTTCTTGTGCTACTGAAGGCTATCTTTGTTTGACGGTACATTATGTGGATTCTCATTGGAAGTTAAATACTAAAATCCTAAGTTTTTGTCATGTTCCTCCTCCACATTCTGCTATTATTTTGTACCATGCAATATATGATTTGTTGAGAGAGTGGCAAATTGAGAAGAAAATATTCTCGATCAATCATCATCACTTGATGAGTCTATTGCTGAAGATATAGGCTATGAAGATGATATGGATGTAAGTATATTTACTTTTCTAATTATCTTTATCTTAATGCATTTGTATTACTAAAATGAGTTTTTGTTTCACAGGAGTTCGATTCATTTGGGGAAAGTCAATTCTTGAGTGATAGGACACAATTAGATGAATATCTGGATTGTAAAAGGCTCAATCGCAAACAACTGTTGGATGTTCTTTTGTGGTGGAAGACGAATGAATCTCGATTCCCAGAGCTTGCTTGTGTGGCTAGAGATGTTTTGAGCATTCCTATTACTACTGTAGCTTCTGAGTCGGCCTTCAGTATGGGAGGTAGGGTTCTAAGCAACTTGCGAAGCTCTCTTTTGCCTGAAAATGCCGAAGCTTTGATTACCACGCGCAATTGGCTATATGGATTTCCAAGTAAGCTAATTAAGGATATGGTTTATTTGATAATAACTTAATCTAATACAGTTTATTTAGTAATATTTGAATTGCTTGATGAAGGTGATGATCGTGATAATGGGCTCGAGGTGGAAATTTCAAAGGCGGTCGGAACATCCTCAATGACTTCTAGCTCTACTCCTGTGTGAAAATTTGATATATCGTGTTTCATGTACTAGACTCCAAGACAGTTTAATTGGGTCAAGCTAAGTATAGACCCCCTAAACTTGCTCTGATGTGAATAGCTTGCTTCAAGGGAATCTGTTTTATGATTTGAGTTTGTTGACAACAGCATACAGTGTGTACTTCTGAAGCTCTCTCTCTCAACAGTTATGTATTTTAAATTTAATCCAAGAATCCGGTAGGGGAGCCGTTTTTCCCTTTGTTTAATTGCGGAAGGAATTAATTGGCCCATCGGGGCATTTTGTAAATGAAAGGACGATTTATTGTTGTGGATCCGATCCACGAATCCACAAATCCATTAGATCTGATCCACGAATCCATTTGGATTCGATCCACGAATTCACGAATCCGATCCAATTGCCACCTCTACCCTCCTCATATCGCTTGATTGATTAGTGAGGGTCACGGTTTGTCGAAACCCTGGGAATGGCTCCCTGACTCCCTCCCTCCAAATTTCAAACGGTTCAGGAAGGCACGTGGTTAGGGGTAAATGAGTTCAGGGAATTCATTCATTACCTCACCAGCTAATTCCCCAGTAATAATAATATAGTAATGACAACCCTTACTCCGTTTCCTATTAACAAATGAAAACATTAACGAAGGCTGCCTGCCTGCCTTACTTTGGTTTGCATCTCAAGTGGATTGAAGAAGGAAAGTGCTCCAGTCTAGACGGCACGAATTGTTACCTTGAGTCAATTGCAAGCAAAGCTATCTGCCTATCTCGGGAGACAGAGAGAGAGAGAGAGAGAGAGAGAGAGAGAGAAAGAACAGAAGGGCCAGAGGAAACAGAACATAAAAGGCAAATGTGTGCCCCAAAGATGGAAAAGAGCCATTGACTAAAAAAGCACTGCTCCAGAACACAGAAAGCGAATTGATATGTATGAGGCCATTTGGACAGGGAAACAACTCAATAAGAGAGTGTTTCTATACCTAGCTATGAGCATATAACATCAGATTTTGCATCATCATATTCCAACACGTTTGCCCATCTCAATTTATAATGCGTATGGAATTCATTTATGGGTAATACATCAATATCATGCAAATCGCAGTAATATTGTAATAAATTCAACTAGTAAGTAGATTAAGGGGTTGTTTGGAAGTTGCGATTGTTAAATAGATGTATTGTTGTGAATACATGTATAATATTATACATGTATTGTCGAATTTGATGCATTGTAGAATACAACGTTTGGTATGTCTGATTGTTTATGTCACATCAGCTAAAAGCTGAGGCAAAACAATCTCAACTCAACTATCTCAACAATCACAACGAAAAGTTGAGATATAACAATCACTCATTTTGAGTGATAGTTTCTGTTACATCACAGAAACAATCTATGCATTGTTTCTGCTAAAAAACAAAAAAAAATGATGCATTCTAAACAATATATGTATAGTAACAATCTCAACAAAACAATCGCAACTACCAAACGACCCCTAATTCAACCGATCATATACGCTAATCACTAAATTGCGTATCCAATGTTCTTGCTATTGGAACTGAAGTACGGAATCATTCTTCATAATTGCAGTATCATTTCATTGATCATGAGGAGACCCCCTTAGGCTTTTGATGCTTAAAAGGCGTGGTTGTTTGTCCAAGGTTGGTCCATAGGTTACCCCATTCCAACAATGAAGTTGGGGTGTTTGCCAATTCATCTCCAGTACTTTTTTCATTCTCTTCATGTGCCCTGTAATTATAATTTTGGTTTGGTGATGCGTCACTATCAAGAAAAACAACCCTAGCTAGCTCTGTTTTCCACTTCACTCCACTCCACTCCACCCATCTATCTCTCTCTCTTCTTAGGGGTCGTTTGGAGAATGGAATTTAGGGCGTGGATTCATTAAATCCGTAGATTTTATAGAAAGTTATGTTTTTTTATTGTTTTTTGTATTGTGGATTTGAGCTTTAGAATTTTCAAATCTCTAAAATCTATGGATATCAAATCTCTCATAATCAGAGAGATTCTATATCTTGATTCGTGAGATTTTTTTCTCCTACTTTTTCTCTTTGTTTTATTTATTTATCATATTAAATATATTTATTAACAAAGTTTTTAATATTTCTCGAACCACTCTAATTATTTATTAAGGATAAACACATTATTTAATATAAAAATATTTTTTATTATTTTCATTGAATGTTAACAACCACAGTTACCAAACAATAAACATTTTAAAATCTATTTTCAACAATCTGAAGAGTTAGAATCTTTAGATTGTTGACAATCTATAGATTTAAACTCATATTCTCCAAACGACCCCTTGGTTCTTACTAGGTTGTTCTGAATTTGCACCTACGCAAGCAACCCCATTCTTCTCGACTTCGTCACTTACAACAAACCCTTTTTTTTTAATTTCATTGACGGAGTTAGAAATCTAAACGAATGGACTAATGAAGAAATTTAAATCATGATCGTTAGAAAGGAGAGATAGAGCCTTATCAACTAGTCTATTTTTCGGAATTTATTAAAAATTTTAACCTCTCGTTGGTAATCACCTACGCAAGCAACCCCATTCTTCTCGACTTCATCACTTACAACAAACCTTTTTTTTTTAAATTTCATTGACGGAGTTAGAAATCTAAACGAATGGACTAATAAAGAAATTTAAATCATGATCGTTAGAAAGGAGAGATAGAGCCTTATCAACTAGTCTATTTTTTGGAATTTATTAAAAATTTTAACCTCTCGTTGGTAATCACCTACGCAAGCAACCCCATTCTTCTCGACTTCATCACTTACAACAAACCTTTTTTTTTTAAATTTCATTGACGGAGTTAGAAATCTAAACGAATGGACTAATAAAGAAATTTAAATCATGATCGTTAGAAAGGAGAGATAGAGCCTTATCAACTAGTCTATTTTTCGGAATTTATTAAAAATTTTAACCTCTCGTTGGTAATCACACGAAGTCCTTAAACGACTAGCCACAGAGTGAGGTCCTTGAGAGAAGAAGAATTTGCAATGGGTTGCGGCGCGGTCGAGTTTCTCGCCCCGTCGGGGACAGGCTGCCCCCATTATTTTCTGACGGGCCAAGCCTTATATTGATATGGGCTCATGGGCCTTTGCAGTTAATTGGACCCTAGCCCTCGTCCAAATATAAGTATCTCCATCCGTCTGTCCTTCCACGTGGATTTTGTGGATGGGAGGGAAGGAGAAGGACAGCAATGGATGTCTGGATGATGTGCCAGCCAGAGAAAACAGAATCCTTCTTCTTCTTCCCCCCGCTCACTCTGCTTGCCTTGCAGCCATAGCCACTTGATAAACCAGAAAGCTCCAAGACAAAATGCCCTTAGGAGCAGCTTCGGTTCCTCGCCTGCAATCGGCATTTCTCTGTTGCCCTCTCAAATCGCCATGTTCGTCTCCTTCCAAGTCCGCCAGAAGCTCCACCCTTCAATCCCCCCGGCGGCCGCCTTATCCTTTCGTTAGAGCCGCTGATCTCGACGCCAACACGGTCTCCACTTTCCTTCCTTTGTTCCTCGTATTTGGGTTCTGAATTTCTCACTCAATTGTGATGGAATTGAACATTTTCCGGGGTGTTGAAATTTTCTCAGATTACAGCCATATCCGTTGGGCTAGTCAGCGTGGCAGTGGGGATTGGCATTCCAGCATTCTACGAGTCCCAAATCGATAATGCTGTGAGCAATCCTTAATCTCCCTTAAACTGTAATTAGAATCTATAAGATGCATTAGTTTCTCCTTTCTGGTTCATGGTTTCGATTTGAATTTTTTGGGACATTTTTTTTGGGGTAACTTGCAGTCAAAGAGGGACAACACTCAGCCTTGCTTCCCCTGTAGCGGCTCCGGTGCCCGTAAGTAAACCCTAATCTGCTATGACTTCTCGTTATTAGCTAGCTTTGTTCACGTATAATTGATCAAGCTCTGTTGAATGCATTTTGCCACGGAGACCTTTGAAATTTCCAACTGTATTGAATTTTAGGCAAAAGGGTTATAGCCTTTACAAGCAGCATTGCAACTGAACCTACATTCATGTCGCCTAGAAACAACATGCCATTTATCGTCGAATGATTGAACATGGTTCCTCTTTTACCTTACTGCTGAGGATTGGAATTGGCTTTATGGCCAGAGAGATGCAGATTTTGTGAGGGAACTGGCTCGGTGACGGTGGACTTAGGAGGGGGAGAGAAAGAAGTGTCTCCATGTATCAACTGTGACAGTGCTGGTTCGTTGACTTGCACCACATGTCAAGGCTCCGGGATTCAACCGCGTTACCTCGATCGGAGGTACCCTCGGCCTATCATGATAGATGAATCTTGTGCAGCAAGCAAAGTCTTAGGTTTCTTCTTTTTAATTTCAATCGAAGATCATAGTGAATGAATATGAGGGGAACTTTGGTGTTTTGTGTGTTTCTGACAGGGAATTCAAAGACGACGACTGAATTACGTTTAGTTCGATCCCAAGAACTTGGGTACATTTTGGTCCCAACTCTGAACATATGGAAGAGAAGATCCAACAGTCATTCTTTCCAGTCTACTTGTAACCTTGCATCTATGTGCCTCTCCAACTACTCTTTATAGAGCTTTTTTCGTCAGATCTTATACTCTTGTTACACTGTTGATACTGTACAATTTCCCCTCTTTTTGTTGAGACCCAACAGTAAAAAGTGATACATTATCTCTATTAAGCTTGGCTCCAAGTTAAGAACCGGTTTGGTGGTGATTTCACATCCATACTAATCAACGTAGAAAACCAGAGGGAACAAGAAGAACAGAGTAAGTGAAGTAAAAAAGAGGTTCAGAGTTGCCTGTGAAGAGGTTCAGTTAGAAAGCTTTGGGCAAACTTGCTTGTCTAGAGGGTTCCTTCATTCAATCATTATATAGAGTTGACTTGTTTCGAAATGCGACTTGTTCTTGCTGCATAAGATGGAGATACCGGTTGAGTTGGGTTCGCTCTGGTGGGAAGCGAGGACCAGATGATAGTTTCAGGACCTGTGAAGCAACTTTTTTCAGTTGATTTTGGGTCACCTTTGCATAGCCCTGAGATAACAGGCAAAATACATCTAGGAGGAAGAAGTGCTGAACATCTATTGAATTAAAACAAGCAACGATTCAGACCAGAAAGATATAAATTTTGGTCCCAACTCTGAACATATGGAAGAGAAGATCCAACTGTTGATACTACACAACGATCTTTCTTTTGGTGGTGTTTTCATATCCAGACTATAAACCCAGAAAACAGATGCAACAACAGGAACGGAGTAAGTAGAGTAAAAAGACGGGACAGAATACACAAAAACGTTGATCTATTTCACAAGCTTGCTTACCATCATTCATTACAATAGTCGGCAATGGCAACTAACTGAAACCCTAAAGAAAACAACACTACAACGAGCAGAAACTAACAAGAAAACGCCATCAACTTCTGCACGGCCATCTCTTTGACAACTTGGGCTATCCATAAGACTATTTGGCAACTCCGTTAGGGTTTTCGGCCTCCTTGGCTTTCGCTTCGAAGTAGTAGTAGAACATCGTAATCAGGCACGAAGCAAAAGCAATGAGACAGGGGTTAACCATGGATCCATCATCTCCATGGGTGACATCATCATTCCTCCTCGCAACAAATCCGTAGAGAGCAACCGCAGCCAATAACCCATCAATGATACGGTAGCCATAAGTGGGTCTCAGAGCAAGGTACATGGAAACAATCACCAGTACACCAAGCAAAGCAATCAGTGCATAAGCAGAGTTGTAGACACCAGCCCAGATTTTGACACAGTTTAAGCTCATAAAGATTAAGGACCCAAAGGAATTGGACAAAACACCAGGAGGGTTGAAGAAGAGCCGTTTGGCGAGGTTGGTCTTCCTCCACTGGTGTATCTTGTTGAAGTAGAGGAAGAGGAATGGGTAGCCTACGCCGGTGAAAACCCCCAGGAGGAAGACTCCGTCAGTTCGAGCAGGAGCGCTCTGAGTGAGAAGTGCGGCGGTGACGAAACCGGTGTAGGAGAGTAGCGCGATGACGAGAAAGACGAAGGTGTCGGAGAATCGCGAAAAGAGGGTGTAAAAGAGGGAGATACCATTTGGTTTCTTGAAGTATGGGATGGTGGTGACTGGGCGAGCAATGATGGAAGGGTAATCGACGGTGAGTGCTTTCATGGCGCCAGTAGTCGAGGAGGCCATTCTGAGCAGTAAATGGTAGAATAGAAAATAGATCTGGTCGATTGAAGAAGAAAAAAGAAGAAGAGAGGTGAAAGTAAAATATCTTTCACCTGGGTCGGGTATACCTCGGGTCGGGTCGGGTCGGTGGCGCAAGGTGTTTATTAGGGCTTTGACTATTGTTTTGACTCTGTTTCATCTCCCCCGTTTTCGTTTTAGGGTTTTAGCAGAGGAGTCATAGCTGGAACCTGTAAGAAAAGGAAGAAGAGGAAGAAGAAGAAGGATGCTGTACGTTATAGGATTGGGATTGGGCGACGAGAAGGATATCACTCTCAGAGGGTTAGAAGCAGTGAAGAAGTGTGAGAAAGTGTTCATGGAAGCTTACACTTCTCTGCTCTCCTTCGGCGTCTCCGACGACGGAATCGCTACTCTGGTAAGTTCCCTTCTTCTTCTTTTTCTTCTTCGGATTCCGATTCCGATTCTCGTTCTTGATCAGATTTTCTTCTCCGGGGACAGGAAAATCTATACGGGAAGCCGATTACGATCGCCGACAGGGAGATGGTGGAGGAGAAAGCCGACGAGATTTTGTCCGACGCTCGTACCTCCGATGTCGCCTTCCTTGTCGTCGGAGACCCCTTCGGGTAAGATTGTAGCAGAACTTCTCGTCTTAGTTGGGCTTCTTTTGTTTTCGAATGGGTGAATGAGCTGATTTGTGAAGATTTGGCAATTTGGCAGAGCTACGACGCATAGTGATCTAGTGGTTCGAGCTAGGGAATTAGGGATTGGGGTTAAGGTAGTGCACAATGCGTCGGTGATGAATGCGATTGGGATTTGCGGGTTGCAGCTCTATCGATATGGCGAGACTGTTTCGATTCCGTTCTTCACTGATGTTTGGAGGCCTGATAGCTTCTACGAGAAGATAATGAAGAATAGGGAGCTTGGACTGCATACTCTCTGCTTGCTAGGTGAGAATTATACGTCTGTGGTTGATCCTCTGCAGCCATGGGAACTTGCTGCAACTTGTTTTTTTGAGAATGTGATGAGAAATTCTTATACTTGGGTTTGTTGCTGTAGATATTCGAGTGAAAGAGCCTTCGTGGGAGTCCTTGTCGAGGTTTGGATCCGAAGAAAGCAACTATTGTGTTTTCCATTACTAAGTACTCTTGTTCTTAGTCTCTCTGCTGGCTTCTTTCAGGGGGAAGAAGAAGTACGAACCACCAAGGTACATGACGATCAACACTGCAATAGAGCAACTGCTGGAAGTTGTGCAAAAGCTCGGAGGATCTGGTACGTAAAGAGAAATCCTTGAAATCTACATACGTGGTTGAATGTTGCTTTATACTAAAAGGGGCTGGGCTCCCCAATGAGCTGAAAATCTTCCTTCTACTCATTGTTCATGCTGCGAGATTACATGATTCTTCTGATGTTATGAATTATGATCGAAATGTTTATCCTGGATGAATCATTATAGTTGGACTTATTTTGAACTTGTTCTGTAGCATACGATGAAGATACCGATTGTGTTGGGTTCGCTCGTGTGGGAAGCGAGGATCAGATGATAGTTGCAGGGCCAATGAAGCAGCTTCTTTCCGTCGATTTCGGGCTACCTTTGCATTGCCTTGTGATAACAGGTAAAACACATCCACTGGAGGAAGAAATGCTGAATATCTACCGGCTCAATACAAACAACGATTCAAACCAGAAAGATGATGGGTGTGTATAGTTTACTTGTTGTCCAAACAACCACTGTAACCTGTTCATTCGAGTTGTAATCGAAATCCCAAATATGTAACATCGAAATCTTGTTTTGCTTATTGTAGTTCCTGCGAAATTGAGTAACACATATGAATATGATGTGCTCAACTAATTTTGGCGCCATTTTGTTACTTAATTGTATGACACTCTGTAAGCTAGCCGGAGAAAGCGAAACGGCGGGCAAGAGCTACTGTCCCTCATCTCACCTAATAACCGGAAGCCCTCCTCCCCATTTATTTTTCAGGTTTTTTTTTATCCTTCTGTTTACAGGCTCTTAATTTGTTACTGAAAGGCCCAATATTCGAAGTCCACTACGATAGTAAGATTGGGCCTTCTTAAGAGCCTCTTCAAACTGGGACCAGGTATCAGCAAAGGCCTTGGCCCAACTTTGACACTGACAGCTCAACTGTTCGTTTTTTCTTCCATACCTAACAACGTGCCCCCACTAAATCAATGGTTGCTTGAGAGTTGAGACTTGGAAATTGGAATCCTTTTCACCAACATCCAATATCATCGCCAATTGATGGAGTTTTTACTTGGACATTTAGTAATGTAGTTTAATAGCAACAAAAAAAAAAAAAAAATACAATGTAGTTTAATAGTCAAACCCATTTTGATAGTACAATTGCCCCTATAGTTAAGATGTTACTTTGGATAGCGATACATTAACCTCTTATTATTGATAAATAAATAAGGAAAAGGGTATACATTAGTATCAATTACCTTGATTATAGCTTAAATACGACAAAAATAATGGTTTAATCATAGTTAAAGAGTAACACGAAGTGTACATGATATTTAAGATTTTTATCATTGTTTTTTCACGAGTTTATAACTAAATCCGCAATAAATATCCCGTAATTCTTAATCTACGCGATTATTATAATTTAAATAGCGAGCAACATGACCATGGTAGATGTGTGTTGTCGTTGGATGGTTACCTCAAACATTCTCTTTAAAAAAATGGGAAAACAATTCAAATCAAAGGAATTTGGTTGTCGGTGATCCGGTGGACGGCTGAGATCAATCAACCTCAACGAATCGACGGTTGGAAAATGCTTACCAGCTCTCCCGCACAACGGCGCGCGGCAAGCGAACAAGGGGCAGGATCTTAATACCCTCGAATTAAACCGCAAAAAGCCAACGGAAGAAACAGATATCAGCCAGCCCGCGTATTTTTCCCTTCTTTCTTTCTCTTCCTTTCCCACCCTTCTTTCCTGTCTTCTGGTGTCGGCGATTCGGCATAAACCCGAACCCTCTCGAATTTCCGATCCAGGAGGCTACCTGCGGGGTTCGGAGCTGCCAAAGATCCAATTTTTCGCATTAAAATCAGGGTTTCCGCTGCCTAAATCGGGGGTCTCATTGACTCCATGATTCATACTTAACAATTGTATTGAGAGTTCGAAACTAATAAGAGCTTCCAGCATCCGCCGCCGGACGGTCACCGGCTCTGCAGAAAGCTGGAAAATTGGAGAGCCGCCGGAAAATTCAAAACCTGGGGTTTTCGGGATTTGCATTTTGGAGCGAACCCTTTTGTCCGCTCGCCATTCTGCTTCTCCCCCATTCAGTGTTGTGGTTCCATTTTTCCTTTCCTGGGTTGCATTAGATCCAGATCTAGGAAGATGGGGAAAAAGGGCGGGTGCGGCTTCGTCGGGTGGTTGATGGTGTTAGTGATATTGGCATTGCTCGGCGTAGGGATCTTCTTAGTAGTGAGGCACAAAATGAACAAATCCGACGACGACGGCGATTCGATTCCGGGGCCGCCGGGAGCTATCCAGAAGAAGTATTCCGACGCTCTCAATGTCGCAGTCCAGTTCTTCGATGTCCAGAAAGGTAGTTGTCTTTACTTTTTTACCATTGCTAACTGCGAATTTTTGGTAGATTTTGCCATTTTGGAGTGCTCAGTCTGGGAGGGTTTCCTTTTCAGCTGGGAAATTGAACGAGGACAAGATAACTTGGAGGGGCGATTCAGCGCTAGAAGATGGCAGGACTGTGAAGCTCGACTTATCGAAAGGAATGTACGATGCTGGAGACCACATGAAGTTCGGATTCCCCATGGCATTCACTGCCACTGTTCTGTCTTGGTCAATCTTGGAGTATGGTGATCAGATGGAGGCAGTGAATCAACTTGGAACTGCTCAAGATTCCCTCAAGTGGATCACTGATTTCCTCATCCATGCTCACCCTTCAGATAATGTGCTCTATGTTCAGGTTCGTTTCATTCTGATTCGTTCATGTACAGCTTGATTTGGATTTGATTTGGTGAATAGAAAAGCTGAAATGTTGGTTTTATTGGGTTAGGTGGGTGATCCTGTATCAGATCACAAGTGTTGGGATAGGCCAGAGGATATGACCGAGAAGAGACCGGTTTTTCAAGTGAACGCGAGTTCTCCTGGGTCGGATGTTGCAGCTGAGGCTGCAGCAGCTTTGGCCTCAGCATCTCTGGTGTTCAAGAAGAAAGATTCGGACTACTCATCCACATTGCTTAAGCATGCCAAGCAGTTGTTTAGTTTTGCGGATAAGTATAGAGGTTCATATTGCGATAGCATACCAGGATCTGCTACTTACTACAACTCCACAGGCTATGGAGATGAGCTGTTATGGGCAGCTTCATGGCTGTACCATGCCACAGGGGATCGGTCTTACCTTCAGTATGTGACTGGATCGAATGGGAATGATTTTGCAGATTTTGGGAACCCTAGTTGGTTCAGTTGGGACAATAAGCTGCCAGGAATCCAGGTATTGATGGTTGCAATGTGAAATTTCCCTAGGATGAACTGCTGCTAAATTTCTTCTGTTTTTGTCTTGTATGATGGAAATACGTGGAATTCGATGCAGGTTTTGCTGGCGAGATTGACATTCTTGGGTGAGAAAGATACCTCGAACTCTGGGCTTCAACAGTATAGGGAGACGGCCGAGGCAGTGATGTGTGGGCTTATTCCTGATTCTCCCACAGCTACTTCCAGCAGAACAGACGGTAAGCTTGAATCGTTTTTTTTTTTTTTTTTTTTGCATGATATGGCATCTATATGAGTTGGAAGTATAATACATTGAAACATTTACAGCTTAGCTGCCCTTTTGGATCATCTAGTCATCACTTGTTTGGCATATGTGCTAATCAAGGATCTCCGGCAGCCCTGTGTGAATTCACATAGTTCGTCCTGAATATGACAAAATTGAGGAACCTTATCTAGTCAGAGTATGCTATTGAAAGCCTAGTATGTCGAAAATGCCAATTGTTTGCTGCAAATTGGAGCGATGATTATGAGTGTTCTAATTAGTATTACAATTTACGCGAGATGTTCTGTTGATCTTAATGTTAAAAGGGGTGATGTTTGCAGGTGGTCTGGTATGGGTGAGCGACTGGAATGCCCTGCAGCAACCTGTTGCTGCAGCATTCTTAGCATCTGTGTACAGTGACTACTTGCGGACATCAGGGAAAAGACAGTTTTCTTGCAGTGGAAGTACATTCAAATCATCAGACCTCAAGAAATTCGCTAGATCCCAGGTAAAGATAGCCCAACACAAACACAATCCTTATGTAATTTGGCAACATCAGTTCTATAGATGATTGAGAGGTATAAGATTGAGAATTGAGCCCTTCACCATGAGAGCTAATGTTGTTTAATACTGGTAGGATTGAACTCTTGTTATTGGAATGATCTAATTCCTTAATGCTCATGCTTTTCATTCCATTATTGTTAGGCTGATTACGTTCTAGGCGACAACCCAATGAAGCTGAGCTATCTAGTTGGGTATGGGGACAAGTACCCGCAATTCGTGCACCACAGGGGAGCTTCGATCCCCGCTGATGCATCCACAGGCTGCAGCGACGGCTGGAAATGGCTCTCGTCAACAGACCCCAACCCGAACGTGGCCATGGGAGCACTAGTTGGCGGACCATTCAAGAACGACTCGTATGTCGACGACAGAAACAACACAATGCAGACCGAACCCAGTACTTACAACAGTGCCGCCATGGTTGGGCTGCTCTCTGGCCTTGTCGCCACTTCGTCAGTCGTCCAGTCCTTTAACTGAGACAAAAAGAACAAACTCAGCAATGCAATTCGTTGATTTGTTAAAAAAAAGAGGCTTGTGTGCTTTGTGAAAGGATACTTGTTGTAGGATGTGTTAGATTGAATTGTACTATTGTGCATTGGCTCCATTGCTCATATAACCCCAGCTTGCTTCATTGCATCTGCCGGTCCAAGGCTCGAAATTTTGGGTTAGCCACATCTTTCTTATCAATGTTTTGTTCACATAAAACCAAATCGATTTCTGATTCATGTTGGATTTTGGAAGGTGAGACTGAGAGCAACTGTAATGGGGGCTTTCTGTTAGTGTTTCTCGCAGGCAACTCCCTTTGTGCAAACTGTGTTAGCCATGGAAGCTGAGAGTGCACTTAGTTGACTTGCCTTATGCCCCCTTACTGTGCCAAACATGGCCAATTACCCCACGTGTGAGCGCTAACGAGATACAAAGGGAAGGGACTGCAACAAAATAGTGAAAAATCACATCCTATGTATCTGCTAATCCTAAGACCTCATCCAGAACAACTGCAACCCACCAAAACCCACACTGTCGCCAAAAACATTGGCCTTGCTTTTACTAACTCGCCAATGTCGCCCTGATTGATTGGGTCTCAAAATCCAATTACAAGGGTGTTGGTGTTGATGTTGGAGTAAGGGTAAGGGTAAGTTTGGGAGGACGTCTTCTAGCAAAGGACATGTGTGGCCTTCTCTGCCTTGGAACAGATGGTTCTTCAGTCCCTCGATAGTGAAAATTCTGAGCTCATTAGGGCAAGTGTCCATTTGGGGTGAAAATCAGTAGTGAGTTGATGGGCTCTGCCTCTGCCTCTGACATTCGAGTTGAAAGAGATGAGGGTGGGGAGGCAGGGGACATGTATGAAGGGTTGTGGTGTGTAGTCTTATCCACCTCCCAACATTCATCAATTTGCATCCTTGAACTCAATTTTGATGGTCCATATTAAGGCTCATATTGCTACATTGATGAAATAGTGAGTGGTTTGGTTCAGTTTGGTTTGATTCATTGAAGAAAAAATCATTACAAATAAAAACTCAAAGTAGTCAATTGTCGAAAACCAAAATCGATAAGCCTTCAGTGGATTTGGTTTCGGTCAGAATAAAAGGAGGAGACTCATAAACACCGCTTCCCGCTAATCTCCTCGAGACCAGATTAAAACATCTATCAAAATCAAGAATAACAATCCATATAGACGTATCAGTCCCAACAATAAGCATTTTTTTCCATGAATTTCAGACATCGTATCATTCGTTACTGCTGTTTGATTGCCTCAAGGCTTTTCATGTTGTTATCGTTTTATTAATGATTTTCAATATAATCAAATTCGAAATCGAAACTATTAAGGGCTTTTCGATTTTTAACCGCTAAGTAAAACCGATAAGCCCTCGATTAAAGTTGGAAAATTGATAAGCTCATTATCTTCATTAGATAAGAAACAAGGAATTCCATAACTGAACATGGCAATTGATATGCAGACCAAAGCAACAGTCGATCGAAATGAACAACAACTGTTTGCTCATTTTAGGCATACATGCAAACATCCCCATCGATCCCCCTTTGCTCTGAAAGCAATCTGTAGCCAACCCTAGCCCAATAATTAAAAATATATTAAAAAAATAGATCCAAGCATTAACATTTTGCTTAATCACGGTCGAAAATCTTATTCATATATTTGTATTACCAATTACAAAAATTTACAAAACTTGTTCAAGCCCCAAATGGCAAATAATAGTAATCATCACCTACAAGTGGCCAAGAGAGAAATAACCAATAAGGGTAAAAACGCAAACAAACCCTATCATAGAAATTACCACGTTGAAAAGGTACCCTAAACTATTAACAAATTAGTAAATTACAATTAGATACTACAGTAAAAAATACTCGTAAACAGACAAACTACATTTTATAAGGATGTAAAATTCTTCTCCAGTAAGTCAACGGGCTATGTTTGACTTGATTGTGTAACCCAATTGCTGCTCCATCTCCCAGTTCAACTTCGATGCTACACCACAATGCTGCGCTTCATATTCCTGCAGATTAGAAATGAAGAAAAATTTTAATACATAAAATGGGGTTTCATTGGATTGCTTTTTACCACGCCATACAATGATTTTTCACCTTCTTATTTACCACATGTAGTAAGTTATAGTAAGTTACCTCGAGCTTGACCATGAGGTCATGGGCATTTTGGGCAGAGATGATAATGTGACGGGCAGCCGGGGCAACGAACCCTTCGTCCACGGCCTTGTCGATGAACGATAGTAATGAGTTGTAGTATCCATCAACGTTCAACAAACCCACCTGAAAGAACACGAAGCCATTTTTCAATTTCGAGGAGATAGAATGCTATATGCAGTAAACAGAGATCGACCACCATAAAAAGTTTTTGAGGTTTGTGTGCGCACGGGTTTGTCGTGAATCCCGAGTTGAGCCCAGGTGATGACTTCCAGGAGCTCTTCGAGGGTCCCGTATCCACCTGGAAGGGCGATGAATGCGTCGGCCTGACGAGCCATTTCGGCTTTGCGTTGATGCATCCCCGATACCGGTTTGACATCCCCGACGGATTCTCCAGTAATCTAGAGAAAAAAAATCAGGAACAAAAGTGAAATCTGTCAGATAACTTATGAAGTAGGGAAGTCTATTTAAATAGAAGCGTTAATTAATTAATTAATTAAAATTACCTCTCTAGGCATGAGAGTCTTGGGAATCACCCTGGAGGAACAGAAGGGAGCAAACAGAATAAAAGGTTATTAGTTTAGAGAGCTCGTAATTAAGTTGAAAAACAGAAGAAAAGATCAGTTTCTTAGATTCCTAAACTCTTGGGAGATCTACTTTCCAAACCTTAACCTAAGGGCCTGTTTACTTTCATTTCTGTTTCCTGTTTTTGAGAAAACAGATGTTGAAAACAGGTGAAAACAATATTTTGTAGTTTCCAAAAACAGGAGGAAGTTGCCACTTTTTGTTTTCATAGTTGGAAACGAATAGAAAACAGAATGAAAAGTAAACAAGTTTTCTTATTTGGGTTGCTAAATTTATGACATGAAAACAGAAAACAGGAAACGAAAATGAAAGTGAACAGGGCCTTGAGGGGATCAAGAGTATGGTTTTTCAGAAACTGATCCACCATATCGTTGATTTCGAGAAATTCAGGGACTAAAATGATAATTTTCTCTAGAGTCAGAAAGAATGTGTAATGGTTTGAGGTTCGTTCAGTCAATTACCCGAGAACGTGGCGGCCACCTTCATAGACGGCTTGAGAGATGAGGCCCATGAGCCCAATGCTTCCTCCTCCATAAACCAAGTCAATCTCCCTCTCAACCTGCAACATACATCATATTACATCAGCCAAATTTGCACCATTTGAGGCTCGCATCTGGGTCGCAATTATAATCTTGCCGTGTAAATTAAATATTTTTATTCGCACCTCGTCGCTAGATTGGAAAACTATAAGAAAGACCATACCAGAATAAAGAATTGACATATTTTAGCTCTCACGTGTTTCCTATTAAAACGGAAATGAAATTTACCCTCGTGGTTTGAAAGATGAATAGAAGGAAAGACAAAGACCAACACTTTACCCTTCATGTTACAAAGTAATGAAAATCATGAATTTACGCTGAGATCGAAACCGATCTGACTTTTTTTTTTTTTTTTCCGTACCAGTTCTTTGGCTAACTGAAGAGCGGCGAGCTGGTAGCTTGGGTTCTTGCCGGCGCTGCTGCCACAGAACACACAGACGCGCCTGAACCTTGATCTCATGGCAGGAAGCTGCTGCTGGTGTTGTTGGTTTTCCATGACAAAGGGAGAGGAAAGTGCAATTTTGATGTTGCTGTTTCTTTTTTCTTTGTATGGGTTTCTTAGGAAAAGGGTATTATTGTTGGGAAGTTGGCTTTGAGTTGGAAGAAAAAGAAGTGAAGGTATGGGAAAGGAAAGGAAAGGAATGAGAAGTAGCTAGTAGTGGTGGCAATCTGGGCCCTTTATATATGTGAAGAAGTGAACTATTTAGCCATCTTCCTCTCCTTCTCTTCACCATTGATTAATAAGTTCTATTTCCAAACACACCACCATCAATTTTATTTGTTTTTCTATTTAATGAGTTCTTTTTAAATGAATTCTTCTTTTGTGTTACTAAAATTCATATATGTCCACCTCTGTAGGGGCTATGGCCATAAATTTCACACCAAACTGTTTTTATAGTGGCTAAACTCTCTTTAATTAGTTTATATCAATCTTCCTTCCAATGGCTGATTATGTTCTTGGAACCCACAAAAAAGGAAAACCTATATAACCCTACTAGCTAGCTAGGTGATTTCCCCCCTCCTTTAATGAACAAAATTTTGTACTAATACCTCATATAATACTTTGGTCATGACTCATAATCAGTCATGCCCTCTGTTCTTGATGCCAAATGAATATGTGAAATGGCAATAAACTCGAGTTGTTAAATGAGATCTAAAATTATATTTTATATTATTTAGTTATATATACTTGTTCATAAAATAAATTCTTCAATATCTTAAATATGATAAGTGGAGTGTTATCTTTAGTAATTATCTAAAATTTCGTCATACCCTATTGTTCATATATGGGGGTTGTTTGGAATTCTTGATCTCATAAATGGTACTCTGAGAATGTATGCAGTAAGATTATGCGTGTATAGTTTTGATCACCATTATAAAAAAAAAAGATTATGTGTATAGTAAGAATGCATGTCTTTTACGTTTTAATAATATACACTATTTGGAATATATAAAGAATGCGTGTCTTTAATCCTATTTTTTTCCCAAGGCAAGCTCAGAGAGCATGGAACAAAGACACGACTCAATTACAAGAAAGACTCCAAAAAAGAACGACAATCTGTAAGCAAGCATATTCCCTACGAGAGAGCCAGATTTGAAGACACAAATACTAAAACTCACCAATATATAAAGTAAAATGCACAATAATATATGCATACTCATTAATATATATAAAGCTCAAACATGTTTATTGTTGCCTAATACTTTCATTTGATTGGACCATCTATTTCAATGTTTACTGTTGCCTAATACTTTCATTTGATTGGACCATTTATTCCTTAATAATTAATATATATAAAGGTAAAGCATGTTTATGGTTGTCTAATACTTTCATTTGATTGGACCACCTATTCCTTAATAAATATATTTGATTGGACCATGTTTATGGGCTTTTATCATATATTGATCCGCTCCGTTTTATGTTTGCGATCAATTAATTGGCGAAACTAAAAGGGAAGACAATTTTGAGTATTATGGGAGAAGAGAAGACTTTGGAAAAGAGAAAGTGAATGGGTGGAGCAAGATTGTCAAGCCGGTTAGCAAGTGGTATGGTTTGAGTGAGATACAACTGATTTATATCAGTTTAGCATAATACATAAAAATATGAAAAATTATTAACATTAAGTGAATTTAATAATATATACAAAAACATATGTGAATACAATCTAAATTCATGTATTGGTTTAACAAAATATATTGAAATATGACAAATCAATAACATTAACAGAATTTAATACTCATATATAAAAACATAACTGAATATAATCTACATTCATATATAAATAAAATACAATATTCCAAATAATATAACATATACTCATATTTAAATACAATATTTAATGTGAACATCCAAATGTTTATAATAGTACCCAACAAATAGCATCAAACTTTAATTTTCAAATTCATGAAATAAATAAAAAATGCATTTTTTGATAATTAATTTTTTGAAAAAGACATTATTTTGTTTAGAGGTCGGAAATCGATCATACCGATAATATTCCAACCATTTTCCTAACTGGCACCAATTATACTCAATTTTACCGTCTGACATTCCATGTACATGACAACCATAGGTAGAGGCGAGTACGCCATCATCCGCAACATACTTAAGAGAAAATTTGACATAGATGATTTAAATTAAAAATGGAACAACTAATATCAATACAAGTATACCATCATCCGCGGCATAGCGCGAGATTTTTTCTAGTATACATAATTCAGAATAAAATATTCCAAACCACATGAGTTTGACCAAATACACACAAGTTGACTGAAATGTAAATGATGAGCATATTTTAACTGAAATATGGATCTAAGCCTGGTCACTAATAAGATTGGAATGTGCAAAGACCAAAAAAGAAAATAATGGATCCAACCATGGAGCTAGGGAAATAACTTACAGGAGCCAATAATTACGGCAAATTGACAAGCAAAGAGAAGAGAGACAAAGTGTAGTCGTGGGATTGCACGTGAAATTTGCAAGTACAATATGCCCCACTCTACCCCACACCGTTCTTCCCCACTATACTACTAATTTCCCAAAGATCCAATTTAGATGTGAATCACTATGAGTTTACTCTTGGAAAGATGGAATGAAACTCAAGGCTATTGCAATGCATTTACATTGCATTCTAGTGGATCAAGTGAAGACTACCTTCAAGTACTCGTATCACGTTTACTTATCGCCAAATTTCATTTGGCTTGTACAATGCATCTGCCACATTACCAACAACCTTTGATGATTTGCCCAAAGAAGTGGTGGAAGTATTCATGGACGTTTTTATCTATAACGATTCTTTCTCCTAGTGCCGGGAGAAGATGAAGAAAGTTCTGATTTGTTTTGAAAAACTCACCTGGTCCCAAGGCATTTCACAAATGGGTTGACGACCAAGGCCATGATTATAATCGACTATATCAGACACTCTGCATTGAATTTTGATTCTGTTGAGTTGGGCTAAATCTTATGGTGATTATGGCCTAAAAGATTAGTTTCAAATTTTAGAGGACAAAAGGTAACTAAAAGTAGTGGGGTCTTTTTCCCTATATCCGGATATAAGAGTGGAAGGAGTACCTATGTGGCGCGTGATAGATTCTCACGCGTCGTAGAACTCGAACTCTCTGACGAACGAACTAAGAATGCGATGAAGATAACTAAATTACTACTAAACTATTAGACTTTATTGATCGAATGAATAAAACAAAGAGCAAAGGTACATATTTATAGGACAAGTCCCACAAACCCCTTTCCCCTTACGACATGGAAACCCAATCCCAAACCGACTAGTAAGCAATAACTTCCTAAGCAAGACATAATATAATAATCCAAATAACAACCGAAAGACAAATAATAATAATAATAATATCCTAGGTGGCTGCGGAAATTATAATGCACCAAACCCCCCCCCCCCCTCTTTAAACAACCTCGTCCCCGAGGTTGCCTTCTTTCTCCTCTTCTCCGCCATCCTCGTCCTTGAAGTTGTCGATCATAACGAAGACGTTCGCATTTGCGCAGCGATGCCCATATGTGAACCTCTCGTCGCAATTGTAGCACAGCCCGTCGCGACGACGTCTAGCAGCTTCCTCCGGTGACAGGTTGCGAATGATGCGCCGTGGCGGAGGTGGCGGAGCTCGCCCTGTTGTTGGCGCAGTTGGCGGAGCCGCTGGTGGTGCAACTGGAGCAAGTGGTGGTGGCGCCCAAGTTGCATCGGCGGTGGCAGTCCGCGGCGCAGTCCTCGTTGATCCCTTCTCAAAGCTCAACTCCTCCTCACGTATCTTAGCCAATCGATACGCTTCGCCAGTGTTTTGCGGATTAAAAGCTCGAATATAGGCAGATATTTCCGGCTTTAATCCTCCTATGTAGGACCCCATGATCGCAACCTCGGTCCAACCGCGGCAACGATTCAGCAACTTCTCGAAGGTATGTTGATATTCGTCAACGGAACCAGTTTGACGAATCTTGGCCAACGCCTCATGTCCAGACGACTTCTCCGATGACCCATACCTTTTCCATAACTTGGCGCATAGACTGCTCCAAGTCATCATCACCCCGTACTTCGCGAATTCTTCCTCAAGCCACATGATCCACTGGTTCGCGTCACCATCCATGTGATAAGTAGGCAGAGCCACCTTCTGATCTTCTGGAATGCACTGGTAACGGAAGTACTTCTCAACATGCGAGACCCACCCAGATAGATCTTCCTTGCCAGTGAACTTCGGAAATTCGAGCGGTGCGATCCTGGTTCGAAACATTGCTTGACCTTGCTCCTCGAATTGACCCATGGGTTGGGTCAACCTAGTCGGTCCACCCGAATACGGGTCGCCCGGCCCGTGGACTTGGGGTCGGCCCACAGCGGGTCCGCACCACCTCTGCTAACCCGGCCCGAGCGGTGGTCTGGGCTCGGTCCAACTTGCCCCTGCAGCCCATGGCCTGCTTGGCCCAGCTCCCTGCGCTCTTGGCCCACTCGGCGGCCACTGATGGCGCGGCCCATTCCCCGGAAGACCAGGCCAAGCGCTCGACCCTGCCGGTCCATAGGGCACGTTTGCGTCCCAGGCCCACTGCTCCGCTCGCTCCGGCCCGCCCGTGATCACGCCTAGCCCAGACGGCCTGTCTCCAGCTCGGCCTCCCTCGGTTGCTCCTGGGCCAACCCCGTAGAGCAAGGCCCCAGTCAGGCCACCCATATTGGGCCCTGGCCCATGAAATACTTCTCCGCGGTTGGTGGGCTCCGGAGTCGGCCTCATCGGTGGCCTCCCCCCTTGGGCGACGACCTGCTCCTCCTCGCCATCGACGGCGAGATTCCCCCAGCCAGCTCCGACGGGAATCCCGCGACCGATCCCTCCACTGCGCCCCACGCTCTCGACCGGTGCTCCGTTCATCACTTCCGGTTTCGTTCCCGGCGTCGGTGTCGAGCTCCCGCTCGTGGAAGAATGAAACCCCTCGTCCACGGCGACTGCCTTCAGCTTCTCTGCACCCGTGATCTGGTCGATGGTGCGACCTTTTCCCCCAGCGACGAGGTCGAGCTCCTTCGATGGCTCGGCCTCCTTCTTCTCCCAAGGCGGGTTGCAGAGGATTGCGAGGATCGTGCTGACGTCGTTCGCCAACCGCCCTTGCTCGACGCGGACAACGTTGATCTCCTCCGACAACCGATCCTGTCCATCCTGAAGTTTCTCCTGACCACGCTGCAATTGCCCAACGTCGACGCGGAGATGCTCCAGGGCTGCTTCGTGATCGCGGTTGATAGCATCCTGAGCTTCCATCCTAGCCACGATCGCCTGTTGATGACCGGCGAGAACTTGAAATTGAAGCCCTAGCTCCTCGTCGCCGGCGGCGGTTGGTGATGATGGTGTCGTTGGCTGCTTGCGCGG